ATGCTTTTGCTTCCCTTTCCATCATGCCCAATTGGCCAAACCCAGGGTCTGCTGAGACACCGCCCCTCCCCCCCGCCCCCCAGGCAGGTGTCTGACCCCCGGAGCCTCAGACTGGTTCCCCTGTCCTCAGCGGGCGCTCGTGATCCTGGGGGTGTTTCACTTCAGCGACAGACGCGGAGTTGGGCAAGGGGGCTGGGTGATTGCATGCGCTGAGAAGTAGGCCTAAGTACAGGCGTGTGGCAAGCCGGAGGGAGGTGGCCCCGTGGGCCGGCGGGCCGGAGCGAGCGCGCTGGGACCCTCTTAAGCACCTGAGCCAGCGGAGGCCAGGTGAGGGCTGCGGGGCCGGTGACAAACGGAGCATGTGCCGCACAGCTGACGGGGGAGAACGCTTCCCCGGGCTGGGGCTGGGGCACCGGCCGCCAAACCCCGCCCCCGTGGCCTGATGCTGAAAGGTGACACTGCGTGGGCCGGGCTGCCTTAGTCACAGCGGGCGCCCGGCAGGCCTGGACGGGGTGCAGCTGGTGGCTGTGTCCACGGCCATGGTAAGTGGCAGGCAGCGAGCCCCGGGAGGTCATCTCGGTGGGAGGAAAAGTCCGAGCGGGAGCTGGGAGTGCCGGCTGACTGCTGACACTCTCCCCTCCTCCCTCAAAGACCTTGCCAGGGATTGGGGTGGTGGTGGGGGTTCGGGGGAGGGGGGAGAGCTGGAAACCTTCCTCTCTCTCTCTAGCCCTCCTTGGCTGGCTGCTGGCCAGCACTGCTTGGAGCCGGGCCGTGGCCTGCATTCGCGTGGCCAGGGCCAGGATTGCTCTGGCAGCCGGCAGCTGTTGCTTCGGGTCCGGCTTGCAAGAGGTAAAAATAGCGCTGGCCGGCTGGGGCTGGGTCTCTGGGTCAGCGGGGTGATCTCAGCGGAGGGCCTCAGCAAGGCATGGCGGGGCCCACGGCGTTGACGGGGACCCTCTCCCGGCGTGGACTCAAACCGAGGCACAGGGACCCTACACCGCAGTGCCGGCTGCCGCGCGGCTCCTCCTTCTATGCGGCCGACAGGTGTCTGATTTTACGACCGTAACCACGTGCTCGTTGTAAACTCTCCATTTTATGGAATTAATTTACATCCAGTGTTGGGGTTGGGGGGGGATAGGGGGAAAGGTGTGGGTGCTGGGCTTGGATGTGAGCGACCTCAAGGTGCTGGGCTCCCCCGTGCCTCAGTTTACCAGCAGTGAGGTGGGACTAAGGTCGTGGCGGCGGCAGTCACAGTTCTCACCAAGTTGTTCTAAGGATTGGAAGCCGGAGGGCACTCTCTCCTCGCGATGGTTTCTGTATGTGTCAGGGCTGTGCGTGTTTATGTGTCATGGGAAGAGCAGTTGTGAGGGGGCGAGAATTGGCGTGCCCATTTTGCAGACGAGGAAACTGAGACTCAGTTTCTCCGGGAGCTTTCTCAAACAGTTCCCCCACTTACTCGTGTGCTGGCCTTGGGGTCCTGCCATTGCCTCCCCCCCCCCAAAAAAAATGGAGGGACCCTGGGGTTTTTCCTGCAGGTAGCTCTCCCAAGGAACGGTTTGGGGTGTCTTCAAGGATTTGCAGAGTAAGAGAGGGCGCCAATGTAAGCTTGGCAGCTTCCCCCCCCCCCCATCCATCCCCACCCGTATGTCTCTGCCCATCTGCCCGCCCACTCACTTCCCCTCTTTGCACCCACCGACCTATTCATCCTTCTGCCCACAATCCTGGCCAGGATTTCCACAGCAAATTCCCCAAGAACTTGCCTAATGCAAAACTTGAGAATCCATGTAAAGAATGTGTTCTCAAGCCCGGCCAGTGTGGCTCAGTGGTTGAGGGTTGGCAAATGAACCAGGAGGTCACAGCTCAATTCTCGGTTAGGACACATGCCCGGGTTGCAGGCTTCATCCCCGGGGTGGGGGTGGGAGGAGTGAGGGCTGGGGAAGGGGGGAGGGTGCAGGAGGCAGCCGATGGATGATTCTCATCACTGATGTTTCTCTCTCTCCCTCTCCCTTCCTCTCTGAAATCAATTTAAAAAAAAGTTTTGTTTTTTTAATTTTTCTAAAATATATTTTATTGATTTTTCACAGAGAGGAAGAGAGAGATAGAGAGTTAGAAACATCGATGAGAGAGAATCATCGATCAGCTGGGGATGTGCCCGCAACCATGGTACATGCCCTTGCCCGGAATCGAACCCGGGACCTTTCAGTCCACAGGCCGACGCTCTGTCCACTGAGCCAAACCGGTCCCGGCAGTTTTGTTTTTTTAAAAAGAATGTATTCCCAGGATTCCTAAGCCCCCAGCCCCCTTGCAGCACATGTTTTCCTTGATGCTGCTCTGGTTTGCTCAGCATTTCAACTTCATGCACTATTTCCACTGTCTCTTGGTGCTCACAATTTCAGACAGGAGCATTTTAATTTTTTTTATATATATTTTTATTAAATATATTCTATTGATTTTGTACAGATAGGAAGGGAGAGAGAGTTAGAAACATCAATGAGAGAGAGTCATCGATCAGCTGCCTCTTGCACACCCCCTACTGGGGATGTGCCCGCAACCAAGGTACATGCCCTTGACCGGAATCGAACCCGGGACCCTTCAGTCCCCAAGCCGACGCTCTATCCATTGAGCCAAACCGGTTTCGGCCAGACACGAGCATTTTAAATGTGCCTGCACTTGGCCGAATTGGGATAAGGTGTCCTGCTTGGCGCTCCACTTCAGAACCGCCGCTGAGACACCCAGCTGGTCCCCGGGGCGTTCCTGACGCAGCCCCAGAGACGGGGCCCTAAAATCCAAATCCCAGCTCACTTTGGGCCTGAGTGTGTGTGAGTGTGTGTGCGCAGGAATTTGTCATTCATTTGACACACACGACTGGGCACCAAGGACTGAGTTGGGCACAAGGGTCCAGAAATGAATGACAAACGGTTTATATCCTCATGGGACAGGGGATTGGCCAGGGGAGACCAGTGACTGTGCGCCGTCCGTGTTACCAGGATGGAGGTCTGTGCGGAGCAGAGAGCCCGGTGGGGGTGGGCTGGGGCGTGGTGAAGCTGCTTGGCCAGTGTGGCCGGCAGAGGGCGTGAGAGGGGGGTGGCCCTTCTACCCCCGCCATGCCCTGGGGCCTCGGGAGGAAGTGGGCAGGAGTGGGCAGGACGGCAACCTGCTGGAGCCTCTGGGGAAGCCAGGAGAGCCTTGGCAGCGTTTTCTTTTGGTGTTGCCACCTGCCAATTGCTAATTTCAAAATTTGTCCCGAGGACAATTGTAAGCCTGCCCGTTCAGGACTCTGATGTTTCTTAAGCGTTCCTTGAGGACTTATTTCTGTGTGAGAAATGAGTAAGAAATAGACTCTGTTCCCAGAAGCTCCCACTTCCACTCAGGGGCCGGAAGTGGGAGGGAGGGGTCGGTGGGGAAATTTAGACCACTGATTCTCACCTGAGGGCCATTAAAAAAAGTTTTTTAATTGATTTCAGAGAGGAAGGAAGAAAGAGAAAGGGAGTGAGAAAGAGAGAAACATCAATGATGAGAATCACTGATCAGCTATCTCCTGCACGCCCCCTACTGGGGACTGAGGTGGAAACCCGGGCATGTGCCCTTGACTGGAATCGAACCTCGCCCAGACCCTTCCATCTGCAGGCTGACGCTCTATCCACTGAACCAAACCAGCTAGGTGCCTGAGGGCAATTTTGTTCCCCCGGGGGATTTTTGGTTGTCAGAGCTAAAGGGAGTGAGCTACTGTCCTCTTGTGGCTGGAGGCTCGGGACAGCCTCCTCCACAAAGAATCCTCCGGCCCCAACTGTCGGTGGTGCCAGGGTGAGGGCAAGGCTTGGGCCTCCGAAAGTGGGAAAGTTTATGCTTTGAACACGTGTGTACACGTATGTGTGTGTCCCTGTTCTCGGTTCTTTGGGAACTAGTTGAATAGTTCACAGAGGTGAGCGTGGTCACCCCTGTCTTATTCCTGGCCTTAGGGGCAGGCATGGCTGTCTTTCACTATTGAGTGGATATTAACTGTTCATAAATGCATGTTGTGACTTTGAAGTTCCTTTCTGGTCTTAGTTTTCCCAGTGTTTTAACAGGAGAGGCTGCTGGGTTTTCTTAAACGCTTTTCCGGGTCCACTGATCACGTGTTTTCCCCCCTCCCTCTGTTCTACTCCTGTGGTTTATTCCGTTGGTTGATGTGGAACCGCCCTTGTCTCGCACATGCGTGTTTATGATTCACAGCGAGCCTGCGTTAGCATACCTAAATTAGAGGTGAGCAACCCCGAGTCAGAGGGCTAAGGAACGCACCCCAGACCAAGCACGTGATGGGCAGGAGCTGGGAGAGGACCCTTCTCCACTCTGTCCCTGGCTTCTCTCCTCTGGCTCTCTTGGCTGAATACACAGATTCTCAGCTGCCTCTCGCTCCTTTAGGAGAGAAATAACTTGCCCTAGCTGGTTTGGCTCAGTGGATAGAGCGTCGGCCTATGGACTGAAGGGTCCTGGGTTTGATACCGGTCAAGAGCACATGCCCAGGTTGTGGTCTCAATCCCCAGTGGGGGTTGTGCAGGAGGCGGCTGATCCATGATTCCCATCATTGATGTTTCTATCTCTCTCTCTCCCTCCTCCCTCTTCCTTTCTGAAATCAATTAAAAAAATATATATTTTTTAAATATAAATATATATATATATATATATATATATATATATATATATATATATTCCCCCCCCCCCCCCCGGTCTCTCTGGTGGCTCAGTTGGTTGACTGTCATCCTGTGCACCAAAAGGTCACTGGTTCAATTTCCAGTCAGGGCACATGCCCAGGTGGCAGGTTCAATCCGGTCGTGGTACATGCAGAATGCAACTGATTGATGCTTCTCTCTCACATGGATGTTTTCCTCTCTTTCCCTCCCCTTCTCCTGTCCTCTCTCTCTCTCAAATCAATAAAAAATATATTTTAAAAATTAAAAAGAGAAATAACTCAAAGCCATAGATACTGAAGCACCTCTCTTTTCTCCTTGCAGGTTTTCTGAATGACCCTGCTGCTTTGCCTGTGCTGTCTGATTTTCTCCTGCCTGACCTTTTCCTGGTTAAAAATCTGGGGGAAAATGACAGACGCCACGCCAGCCGCCAAGAATAAACCGGAGGCGAGCTTCGTCCCAAGCCAGGAGCCCCTTCCAGCGCCCAACAGCTCCAAGGAGCCACCGCAGAAAAACGGGGACAGCGGCCCTTTGCCAAAGACCCCCAGCCAGGCGGAGCCGGCCTCCCAGAAAGGCCCCAAAGATGCCGACTGGCAAAGGACCTCCAGGCCGCCCCGGCACAGGCACCCCTCCAGAAGCCCCCTTCCCTCCCGCGATGCCTCCCCAGCCAGTGGGATACGGACCCAAGGCCCGGAGGCCCCAGACACCAACGGCCTGTCCTCTCCGCTGGCCAGGCCCCAGGCCCGAGCCAGAGCCCTGTCCAAAGAGGACCAGAAGCAGGCGCGCCTCAAGAGGCAGCTGATGACCAACTTCATCCTGGGCTCCTTCGACGACAACTCCTCCGACGAGGACCCAGGGGCTGGCGCAGGCCGGGAGTCCTCCCGCAGGGGCAGCCGGGCCAGCCTGGGGGCCCTGACCCCGGAGGCTGCTCGGGCCGCAGGCGACTCGGAGGCCCTGGTCCCCGCGATGAGGTAAGGTGCCCCCTTTCTGTCCTGGTAACCGGGAGGGTGGCGGGCGCAGAGTGAGGAGTGGTCTTCACCATCTCCCCTCCCTAGCCCTGCTCCGTCAAGCCATCCTTGGATGCCAGTGCTTCCAGGGTAGCTGTGTGAAAAGCAAATGTTACCCTTCCCTGCTTCCTTCCTTCCCTCCTTTCAAAAATCGTCCCTTACACACCTGCTGTGTGAACAGGACGCTGGCTTCCTAGGCAATCAGCCTCGCTGGGGACGAGGGCTCCGCGTGTGACGCGTTATAATTTAAGCCGAATGAGCTGAAGCCACAAGGGATGGCGGGAGCCGGAGGGCAGGCCAGTTTCCCTGCCTCCTAAAGGGACATTCCTCTATTTGTGCGTCTGTACGGTCAAGGGCATGTACCTTGGTTGCGGGCACATTCCCGGTAGGGGGTGTGCAGGAGGCAGCTGGTTGATGTTTCTCTCCCATCGATGTTTCTAGCTCCTTATCCCTCTCCCTTCCTCTCTGTAAAAAAATTAATAAAATGTATTTTAAAAACATTATTTTTTTTTTTAAAAAAGAAGAAGCCGAGACTGGTTCGGCTCAGTGGATGGTGCAGGGAGCTACTCACCGAGAAGCAGTCCTTCCCCCAGGGATGGCTAAAAAGCAGAAACTCAAATCCCAAATACTGGAACCCAATGCTGTCCGGTGGCGGCTTTTTGGAGGATTTTGTTTTGTTATCAAGCCTTGCCACCTCCGTTCCCAAATGACAGAAGGAATGCAGTCGATCCCGGTAGAAAACTTGGGAAGTAGAGGGCCAACTGATGGAAGAGGGCCAACTAATCAAGCACGCATTCCGCTGTGTGCTCCTGGGGAGGACACCCCCTACCCTCTCTGGGCCAGACTGGATGCTCCGAGGTCCTCATTGGTGCTAACGGTCTTGGCTCTTTTGTCTTTGTGTGTGGAGGGGTCGGTAGGGGCTGGGAGATGGGGAAAAAGAGAGCAGCTGGAAAACTGGAAAAAGCACGTTCATTGATAACCATCTTCTCCTTTGCTAATTACCGCAGAGAGTCTGGGTTCCAGGCAAGCTGGGGACAAGCGAGGAGCTGAGATGGCCCAGGGTGGTAGCGAAGGTGTGTCCCCTCCCTTCATTGGCGTGAGGGCTCTTTTTGCAGCCCTGCAGCTGGGTGCCAGGCTCCGTGATTGGCACCGCGGACGCATAGACAGTGAGACCTGGCCCCTGCCCTCCGAGGACCGGCTCAGGAAAGGTTGAGCGGCCGGGAGCCGGGGACATTGCCCTTGATGGGTAGAGAGAGCTGTTGGAGGGGCTAAGAGCACTCCCACTGGAGGCCAGCTGACTGAGCACCGGCCTGCTGACTCCTCTACCACCGGCCGTCATGTGACCTGGGCTTGAGCTGTCAGCTTTCTGTGCCACAGCGCCCTCTCACATGAGGCCACCATGGCCCCTGCCTCACAGGGCCAGAGCCCGGCTCAGGGCAGTCACTGTGAGCACAGCGCTTAGAGCAGGGCCCACCGGGCACTCATTGTCATTCAACGCAAAGCATAGTGTCACAGCGAGGGTCCAGGCCCCACGGGCCGGCACGTCTGGGTTCAGATCGCAGAGCAGCCCCAAGACCTCTCTCCGCGCTGCCGTTCCCTTCTCTGCCGAAGCAAGCGGGGTGAGGCCAGGTCTCCCCGGGAAGTGCGCCGAGATCCCACGGGAGGAAGGGCCGGGCGTGGATGGCCGCGGGCTGCCTCGGTGGCCGGCTGTCGAATGGGCATCTTACAGAGCTGTTACCGGTGGAGATGGCTGTTCTCACGCCACACCACGACTTTAAGGTAGGGCGGCAACCTGTGTCCACGGAGGAGGAAGAGGGATTGACCCGGCAGGGGCAGTGTCCCTGCGACGGGCTCACGTACCGATTGGCCCGCAGGTGCCCGGGGGTTAGCCATGCCTTTTCCCATAATGCTCGCTTCCACGTGGGAGTCTGAGAGGTTTGCAAAGCGCACCTCGGACCCTGGGGAGGCGAGCGGAGTGAGGGTCTGTGGGCTGTGGGCATGATGGAAGGAACCCGGCCAGGAAGTGAAGGTGCAGTGGAAAGGAAAGGGACCCCGAGATTTGCATCCCCTCCTCCCCGCCCCCCCCCGCCCCCGTTCCACATAGCATCCGGGGTGAGCTCAGCTCTCCTCTTCAACAGTCGCCACCCATCCCTTGCTCATCAGTTCCGAGTAGTGAGCGGCTCCTAAAACTTACAACTCTCTGTACATATTTGTATCTCTAAATGGCATGCAATGGATCTTTCTATGATATCTGAATTTATGTATTCATGTGTTAAGGTAGGGGAGGGACGGACAGATTCCCCCTCTCCCTCCCCCCCCATTTTCACCTAAGATAGTCTCTGGGAGCCCAGGACCAAGGGGATCCCTCTCATTTCAATGTTCTATTGTGGAATGAATGTTGAAGTCCAGGGGAGGTTGGCTATTCTATCAATACAGGGTCCAGAGTACCACACATGCATAAGTAAGCATCCTGTTTTAGAAAAAAATCTTTCACTTCTGCTCTATACTTTTCTGTAATATTCCCTCCATCATATATTAAAAGGGATTATTATTATTATTATTATTATTTCACAAAAGTGCATCTTATGCCCATGATTTTCTGGAAGAGGAAGTGGAGAGAACCGGTTTGCTCAGCTCAGGGTCACACAGGAGCAGGGATAGGCCGGAGGGCAGGCATTGAGCACCTTTGCACCTGCTGTGAGCCAGTCGCTTGTGCGTTTTCTCTGTGTGTGTGTGTGTGTGTGTGTGTGTGTGCGTGCTGTCACCAGTCTGGGCTTTCTGCAATATCAACAACTTAAATTTAGCCTCCGATAAGTCTCGGGAGCAGGGCGTTCAACACGGGATTGCAAGCACAGCCAAGTGTGAACGGCTTCATTGAAAATCACAAGCACTGATGCCGGCACTATGGTGGTGTGTATAGGGGGTGCCTCTTACTCTTTCCTTCTCATCTTTTATTGGATAATCACGCAGCAGAGAAAAGCCCAAGCCGCCGTCCCTCTGATTGATGACAGGCTAAAGCCCAGCCATCTAAGGGAAACCCCGCTTTGAGAGCCTGGGCGAAGCCCCGTGTGTGAGGGCGGGTGCGCAGAGAAGTTAGAATATCGCACGGTGTTATATAATAACAGCGAGTGTTGGGGATTGTCCATAGAATAGATAATAAAAATGGAGAGCAATGGAAAGAACCTGCTGAGAGTTTTTGCTGAGAGTTTTTGCTGAGAGTTCTTGCTGATCTGGACTGACTTGGGTCGGGTAGGGTGTTTTGAAATACCTTCATTTCCTGATTTTAATTGTTTTCATCATTTTGAGGCGGTTACATTTAAATTTGGGTCGTTGTGGGTTGGGGTGGCGACTAGGCGAATACTTTAAGGTTTTGGTTTGAAACTTTTAAAAAAATCAGCTTAAGATTTTTTTTTTTTTTTTTTTTTTTGTAGGGATTGAAGGTAAGGCCAGAAAGAAACTTTGAAGAACTGAGAATTTTGTTCACCTGTGTTATTTATTTCTTAACCTATTGGGGGTTTTTCAATTATTTTATTGGTTGATTTTAGAGAGAGGAAAAAAGAGGGAGAGGGAGAGGGAGAGGGAAAAGGAGGAGAGGGAGAGAGAGACATCAATTAGTTGTTCCACTTATTTATGAATTAATTGGTTGATTCTTGTATGTGCCCTCACCAGGGATATAACCTTGGTGTATCGGGATGATGTTCTTAACCAACTGAGCTACCCTGCCAGGGCCTGTTTATTAAACTTGTTGAAACGTTGTTTAATATATGGTTCAAGAACAACTAACCCGTGCCCTCAGGCAGGGCTGCTACTACACCTCCGAGGGAGGTCACTGAGCCTCTGCTGGTCATGTAGATGGTGCCCCCTGGAGGTGTGGCCCTGGCTATATTTTTTGAAGGGAATCATTTGCAAACACATTATTTTGTTTTTGTTTTTGTTTCTGTTCGCTACGAACATGGGCTACATTAATTATTGGTGCAGTATTTTCTAGGCAATGTTTTGGATTCTTTTTATTTATTCTGACTACTTGGAGAGGCATTCATTCATTCATTCTGCCTGGGTTCACGTCACCAGCTGTCACCTTGGGCAGCATTTATCTCTGCATGATGGGAATAAAAATGGTAGGATTGCTGCAAGGGTTCACTGGACAAGGGCACTGAAAAGCCCAATAAATGTTCATCTTACCAGAAAGGGTCTTATTTAAGGGCTCAGGTTGTCTGGGGTCTTCCGGGTCTAGAAGGCCCTCACTTTATTTTCAATACATTTTTATTAATTGATCTCAGAGAGGGAACACCTGTGGTGAGAGAGAATCATTGATTGGCTGCTTCCTGCACGCCGCACACTGGCGATGGAGCCCACAAGCCAGGCATGTGCCCTGACCCGGCACTCGAACGGTGACCTCCTGGTGCATAGGTTGAGGCTCAACCACTGAGCCATGCCAGCCCGGCAGGGGGCCCTCACTCCAGAAGGCGACCCAGATGGTTCAGAGCATGTGCTTATAGAAAGCCCCCTTTGGAGAGGAGGGGTACGGAGCAAACAAGTCCGTGGAAGCAGAGGTGGGAGAATAAACAAAAACAGGAACTTGTGGAAGCCAAAAGTTGACTTGAGTACAAGGGTTTTTCCCAGAGGCACGTGGTGACAGCTGACTCACATTTCAGAGACCCCACATTTTCCACCACTTCCCTGCTGTGTGTGTGTGTGTCTCCCAGCGCAGTGATTGCGAGTGTTTTGCAGCTGCCAATCTGTAGGGGGAGGCCATCCTAGGACTCTTCCTTCTGCTGCAGGCAGGGGAGCTGGGAGACCATCTGCCAAGACATCTTTTCCGTCCTGCAGCTGTCCCCCAGCCCAAGGTCAGCGGCGGCTCCCAGATTGGCGGCTCCGGGGGCGTGGCATCCAGGGGGCGTGGCCTTCCCGGGGCGGGGCACTCCGGGGGCGGGGCCGGGGCGGGGCCTGGGCCGGACACTGGC